GGTTGCTTACGTAGTACAAAGCAAAAAAATAGGTACAGAAATGTTCCGACATTTTCCGATTCACAAAACATTGCGTACCGGCGAGGGAAGTGCGTACGGCACTTCCTACTCCTGTTTCCCTTTATAAATCACAATCGACTCGTAACGCCCATATTTGCCAATAAATAGTCAAAGAAACGCCCATTCATTCATTCATTTTGACTGACTGCATGAAGAAGATCGCAGGAAATTACGACAGAACAGCTAAAAAAGACATCTCACACCGTGTCAGATTTTGGTTATTTTGGGGAGGTCGAGATAAATCATATTGTTTGGTGGATGCAGTTTGAACCTGAGTAGCAGCATGGAGGTCGGATCGTCACCAAAATAAATAAATAAGTGGTCCGAAAAAAGTTAATGACAAAGAAATGATCGGGGAATCCCTCCGGAGTGGAGTCATGACGACTGGATCTGAAGTATTTTTGTTGTATTTAGTGGTTTGTGTTCCAGCTGTCGATCAGCAACTATATATCCATAATCCACCAGTTAAAGGAAATACAACTAATGGGTTGTGTTATATTAGCTGTACAATTTACCACATATGGTGTTCTTAGTTTCCATACCTCCTGTGTTTTACGAGCGACTTATCAAGTCTTGGCAAACGGCATAAAACACGATTAAACGTGATAGTATATAAAACCATGCTCGTATCTACAACCTATAGAAATGCAAAACGGCGTCAGTTTAGACGTAATTCTGTCCTCCTGCTTACCGCATCATTTATGAGAAAACATTTCATAACATTAACACAACATATTCGAGGTGGTTTTAAATAACATATCCGTATTTATTTATTTCTCCAAGTTATGTTTTTGTGTGCACTGAGGAGTCTCAAACAGGCGTTTGTTTAATCATTTTAAGATTGGCTTTAATCAATGTTTGAAAATGAATTCTTCATATTTGATAAATGAGAGGTAACATTTTATTTATGGTATTATTTCCACATATTTCTCTCCATTCTTCCTTCTGCCAACGGGTGTCGCAGTTTCTCGTCTCTCCCGTTTGTGTGCTTAGTGCGTACGCATGGGTTAGAGTTTGCGTGGAGGACAGCACATTTTTATGTTTTTGTGTGCACTGAGGAGTCTCAAACAGGCGTTTGTTTAATCATTTTAAGATTGGCTTCAGTGGCGGCCGGCCCATAGGGGCGCTAGGGGCGCCGCCCCCCCTCTTCCCACATTAAAAAAAAAATATATATATATATATATATATTTTAAAAATATATTTTTTTTTTTTATTTTTTTTTTTAATAAACAAGGTAAATATTATATAATTGGTATCAGTAAAATGTATAATCTACAATAAAATCTAGTTTAAAATTGTGTTACGATGTCTAAAGTTACTGATAAGTCACATGTTTCCTGCCTGGCCTTGCCCGTGTATCATTACCCTCTCTCGTCTGGGCGCTATGCACAGCGCCCAGACGAGAGTGCAGCAAGTGCAGCAGAAGCCAACTGTTGCTATCTTTAAACTATGCCGCCGAAACATAATTTCAGGCAATCAGCGTCGTCAAATCTGATGGTCACAGGGCTCCTACGTGAGCACCCGGTGCAGTCTGTGAGTTGTTTGGACTCGTATCCAAGGAGACAAAACAGGAATCTGTCATACACTCTGGAAGCTACCATTAGCAGCTAATGAAAACTCAGTTTTTGACATAAAAATTGAATTATGGATCATCAATCATTTTTCAAAGTGACAGACACATTGGATTAACCTATGGATTAACCTTCAACTGCGTTTTTCTCGTTTTTGATCAGAATTGTTATTCTGCAAAAGGTGAGCATATCTCCGTGTTTTGCTACCTAAAGCTACGTCGTGTGATGTCTGTATTTGCTTCCCCTTGTCGCGAGTTCTGATCGCTCAGTGATGATACTTATATTTCTAGAATCTGTGGAATCTCAGCTTGTAAGCTTGTTTGTGCATATCCGATAAGTATATCGATTGATTTATACCTAGAGTGCGTTAGCATTTTTTCGCTCAGGGCTCATTTAGACGCTTCTTGTGAGACTTGTGTTTTGTTTCGGTAAACATGGTTCATATCATCAGTTAGATGCGTTTCCTCTGAGTAGGACACATGAATAGTTTATTACATTTTAAGAAGCCCTGAGACACAGTTTCGTGAGAAAAAAACGGGGGAAAAAAGCCCCTTAACAGGTTAAATGGGAATTAAATCAGTGTTCCCAAAGCCCCGGTGTTCTGCAGTTTGTGTGGGCCTACTGTACTGTTGCACAGTTTATGCTGTAGAAACTATGTCTAGGACAAGGTGTTTGGAAGTTTTGGAAGATTCATAGCTAACCACACTGAAGTTATAGAGGTATTGATCAGTCTTCTCATATTTTTAAGCCTCAAATTGTCCCCCCCCCCCCCCTCTAACATCACCAGAAGTCATAATTTAAGGGGTCTTTTCTCCAAAACTTTTACCGGGGGAGCATCCCCCCGGACCCCCTAGTATTGTTTGATCATCATTTCCACAGCCCCACCTAAAATATTTTCCACCAGCCGCCACTGATTGGCTTTAATCAATGTTTGAAAATGAATTCTTCATATTTGATAAATGAGAGGTAACATTTTATTTATGGTATTATTTCCACATATTTCTCTCCATTCTTCCTTCTGCCAACGGTGTCGCAGTTTCTCGTCTCTCCCGTTTGCTTAGTGCGTACGCATGGGTTAGAGTTTGCGTGGAGGACCGCACATTTTCCCGTCAAGTTAGAATTTTATAAATCGCAAACATTGCGTAGAAACTGGCGTACGCCATTTTTTGAGCGTATATCCCTTTATAAATGAGGCCCCAGATGAGGCTCCCTCCGCAAAATGAAGCACTCTCCGCAGTCTGCGTGATCTGCCTGTAGGGAGGGGCGGCCCTGCGAGTAAAGTAACGCGTTACTTTATGTAGAGAGTAACGAAGTAAAGTAATATATTACATTTTGTGAGTAACGACCCCATCTCTGTTAAAGATGATTCAGGTGTTACAATGTCGAACATATAAGTAACAAGACTTCTCCTTTACTACGCTATAAAGGAAATATTTAACATTGTTTGTAGCCTGAAAGCTCACTGTAGCTGTAATGTTTGTTGCAAGCAAATGGATAATCTGTTTATGTCACTTCTTAAGTGTAAATCCCAACATCTGTGTCAACACAGAAACAAAGGTGTTAGGGACAACTTAAAGTGGACCTTCATGCTATATTTAAAGGGGACCTATCATGCAAAATGCACTTTTGTACGTCTTTTATACATGAATATGTGTCCCCGGTGTTCCAGGGAACTCACCAAGTGTCAGAAAACACAACCCTCTCTATTTTCCTCCATACCCAAATCTCTAAAAAAGGGGCTGCAACGGATCTGATAAAAACTGATCCAGATTTGAACACTGTCCTGACGTCAGGACAGTGGCGCTACGGCTATTGGGCCAACTCCACCAATCAGGAGGAGACAGCCACGGCCATTGCCGTTCGAAAGCGCTGGAGACGCTGTAGTACATATGCCAGGCCTGTAGATGGTGCTGTTCTCACATAATCTGCCCTTGCAAAAACAGAGCTAAACATTTTCAAATTGAGCAAAATGAGGCATGGCTAAAATGCATGATCTGTTTGGTATTTTGAAAAAAAAAAAGTATAAATATGCCTTATATAGGTATGGTCCTACACTATATTATTCAAATATAGCATGATAGGTCCACTTTAAATGATATATTGTAGGGCCATACCTATATAAGGTATATTTATACGTTTCTGTTTTCAAAATACCAAACAGATCATGCATTTTAGCCATGCCTCATTTCGCTCTATTTGCTGTTCTCCAGCACTGTTTTTGCAGGGGGCTGATTCTGTGAGCTGCAGCTGACCACGCTCCCCTGCAGGAGAGGGGAGCGTGCTCTGATCAAGTCAGAAGAGGGGGAGAAAAATAGATCTCCGTCCTCCGTGTTTTATTATATTATTATATAGAGTCGTTATTCATTTGTTTTAAAGCTCAATAAATAACAAAGAAGACCTTTGACCGGCACTTTTCTAATTTTTCCGGAAGATTTAAACTTTAACGGACATCTTGACCGGCGAAAGAAACCTGAAACTGAAACTCTGCCGCACGGTCCCCTCGTTCCTTGGAAGAGGCGGAGAGGTGGGTGTTTGTCATCTGCTGGTGGACTAACCGGAGAGAATTACAGTGCTTGCCTCGACGGGGAGGGATTGCATTGAATTACAGCAGCAGGAGGAGCAAACGCTTGCCTCGGGGAGGGAGAAAGAAAGCCACAGCGGAGAATAAACAGAAGGGTAACCATGGTAACCATGCGCGGGAAGTCTTTGCTGCTTTTGTGGCAGACTACAGCGCCACTTACAGGCCTGGCATATGTACTACAGCGTCTCCAGCGCTTTCGAGCGGCAATGGCCGGCCGTGGCCCAACCCCACATTCCCCTGATAGGAGAGTGCCATTAACATCTCTTCACTTCAATGATTAAACGTGCATAAGCATAAACAGCCTCACACTTTATGTCATGCAAGTCTGAAGGGTTTTACATGGTTAGTACTGGATAAATCAGACTGGGATTATACTGCAAGAGTTATGTGAGATTTTCTTTTCTTTTTTACTTCTGAGTGGCCAACTTGCCCCATGTTTACAAGTCAGCATATGCACAGCTAAATGGAATGCAGCCTTTGCTAACGCCCCCTGTGTTTCCTCATGTATGCTTTAAAAAAAAGATCTGATGGAGAAAGTTCTTCAGTCATACACCTTCCCCCCTGCAGGTGTAAATAAGGGACAGTCTTTTTTTACTCTAAGATAAATGATCAAACTCATTTTCTGTGAGTGTACCATTTCAAAAAGACTTCATGAATATTCCAGTAACCTGTGAGAATAAACGCTGCATCTGTTCCCAAACAACAGGCCATGCAGGTTTGACTTTCCAGAGGTGGAAAATGTGAGTATAGTTTTGAATCATTGTGAACAAAAAACACAGGACCAAACAGACTTTGTCAAAGTTATTATTGTAGAATACTTTGATGTATCTTTCATACAGACAAAAGGTGTTGGACTTAATTCCCATTAAATTCTCTTAGATTTCCATACAGATTTAGTCTACAGTATACAGGTGTGTTCTTTCTCATATATAGATATTTATTCGCTTAAATAACAGGCAGGTAACTCTTTAATATATTCAATAGTCTTTATGGTTGTTTTACTTTTTTTGGTCTTTTTTCGTTTTAGCACAGGTAAGGCTGCACTTTCTGTCTGCAGAACAGCACTGCGTTGTGCAAGAAGGGGGACCATTCCACACACAATATGTACAACAGTATGTATAATGAATAATGTAAAACGTTAAGTTCTTCCCATCTTAACATGGCAGTAAATACTTGTCGCAGATCTAAGAGAGCAGCCTAAACAACGCACTGACGCATTGCACTCCTGCAGTCTCTAGCTCTGCATCGCCCTCCAGTTCTCCATCCTCCCCGGGTCTCCACTTGGTCCAGTCCTTTAGATCATAATGAGGTACATCTGTGTCTCCTGTTCTCTATTTACAGAATGGTGTCTCTGGTCTTAAGAGACTAGAAGCTTCTCCACACCTCTGCACACTTCAGGGGCTGTTCAGTGGACAGAAAACACAGCCCTCAGAATATGCTCAGGAGAATGTGCAACCGTCTTTCTCCATCAGTGGGAGCACTGATGGAGAAAATCTAAAATAATAATAATAATAATATACAAGCGCTTTCATTGTGTTGTTCCTCTCTTTACAGAAAGCAATAGGATTCAAGAAAAAAAACATCAGAAAAAACAAAAGTGTAACAGGAACATAGTACCTGTAAATCAAAGATGCACATGTGCACATTTGGGCGATCTGTACAGTAGTGGTGCAGTTGTACAATTTATAATTTTGATAAATATAATATATTCTTTTTCACATTGTGTTTTGTCTTCTGTCTCACAACATCATGATGTAACGTGGCTGGACGGATGGACAGAGATGGCTGGGACTGGACAGTCAAATTTACACCACTGTGGATTATCCGCCAGTTGTTTGCTGTGTGTGTGTGTGTGTGTGTGTGTGTGTGTGTGTGTGTGTGTGTGTGTGTGTGTGTGTGTGTGTGTGTGCACGTGTGTGTGTAGTGCAGAAAAGCATTGATAGAGCTGTGCCAAGAGTTGCTGGAATAGAATAGGTTGGGCATGAACAGGATGTGTGTGTGTGTGTGCGTGTGTGTGTGTGTGTGTGTGTGTGTGTGTGTGTGAGAGAGAGAGAGACAGAAAGAGAGCAGTTGTGGAGAGATCATAGCACACAGTAGTGACAGTAGCCTACATGATTTACCAACACATAAAGAGTGACATTAATGATATCAAATGCATGCTTCAAAACAGACAGACCAATACAATGTCCCCCCCCCCGGCCCCTCCGTCAGGGCAAGGTGGTGGTGATGATGATGATGATGATGAGCATTCAAGAAGACAGGGTTCTGTACAGGTAAGGGTGTTCCCACAGAGCCTCCTCACAGACCAGCAAGACACACTGTTCTCGGTGTGCATGTGTGACGCTGTGTTTCTGACCCCAGCTGGGCAGGAGGGTCCACACGGGCGGGCTGTTGCATAATGTCTGCCAGCGCCTTTCTCGGGGGGGAGGAGCAGGTGAGAACTCAGGGAAGTCAACAGGGCGAGGAAGGGTCCAGATCTGCGGTCCCGCTCCGAGGCAACATGGAGTCAGCGGTTCACCCACACCTAGTGCATCATGGGAGACAGGAGGGCGCTCTCACCCACGCTGGAATGTGATGTTTGGAATGTATGCTCCATGGAATGTCGGCGAGGTGACGGTGGAGTGGGATGTCACAAGCGCCATGCTCGCTGTCACTGGCGCGCTGTCCAAATGTTTTCTGGTATTTTTTGTTTCGTTGGGGTGTGCTCATGCAGCATGGTTTGCTGTTTTACATTGAACAGCTTTAGCATAATAACTCTCTGGGATTCATGTCATTGTAACGGCAGATAAAGGCTTACATAATAAATGGGAATTTCCTCCGATATGACAGGCTAATCTATTCCATGAAAAAAATACATGGCATGTTTTATATGTAACCTCAGGTACATTTGTTTGGTGATTTTGGCCAGTACCTGAGCACTGTATTTAATTCTTGCACATGCCAGTGGGCCTTCATGATAGCAGATAAATACCTTTATTTAACAGTTACTTTCTGCAATAGGGGGTCAAATGGGTGTTTATTGGAATCAGCATATTGGGATAGACCCAATATTGATCCCTAGTTTGAAAGCAATACTCCAACATTTTGTGGTAATGTATCCCAATCAACTAATTAAATATCATGATTAAGCGGAAAGCACAGTATTTGACACATGGACATGACACATGAGCTCTCATTGGTCAAACCTGATTGAGTGGGTCCTTAGGCCTAAAGCTAAAACTGAAATAAGATGGGTTCCTATTCAACGTCAACTAGTGATTATTTGAGTTCTCGGTAAAAATGACTGGACGCAACATCCTACTGATCAAATGAAACAATCTCCTCGTCCTCCAGACTCATGGAGGGTACACCATGGAGACAGCCCGATGGCACGTGAGCAGCTTTGAAGTGAGTGCATGTTAGTCTTAAAGGGCCATCGCCTGTGCATTGTGTTTGATGGCATTTAAAGGGTTAATGCTTCCAAAAAAAACAACTGACACACAAACCCACCAACGAAGGACCAGAAGATTGGATGAAGGGAGCGAAGGAAACTACATAACGGCTTGAGCCAGCATGATGGGACAGAAATGAAGAGGAAGAGGACCTCATAAGTATGACTCATCAGTTCACAAACATGGCAGGTAGATGAAGTTAGTGTGTCCATGACTACACTGTGAGATCCTACACGCTGTGTCCTCTCATAGCAGTGGACAGAGTGACAGATAACACTGGCCTGATGGAAGGCCTCCAAAGGATGGGAGAGTGTGAAGATGACAAGATCTGTGCTGTCGCTTCCCACACATTCAAATGATAACACATAAACTGTATATATATGTACCCCCCCACTTCTTAAGTTGTTTTTTGCAGCCATCCTATTGACTATTAGGTTTAAATGAACAGCATCTTTGTTTGCAATTCCTATTTTTGTTGTGTTTTTTTGTTGTTGTTTTTTTCAGAAGAGACAAGACAATACACATACACACACTGAAAGATAGAGAGAGATGAAAGAAAGAAAAGATTTGGACTGAAGTAGGCTACATTGAAAAAACTTCAACCTTGACTTCAATTAAATGTATCATTTATTAGGTTAGATGAAAGCAATAATATTAAGTTGACCCTAATATTTTATGTAAACTAAATATTATTGCTTTCAGCTAACCTAATACAGTTATGTAAAATCTGTTGACATATTACATTTAATTAAAGTCAATGTTTCAGTCTTTCAGTGTATCTGTCTGTAGCCAGAGAAATGACAGGGGTGGGGGTGACTTTGGTGCCATGGCAGGTAGGTAGGTGGGTAGAGATGAACTCTAAGAAACAGAGTGGGTCAGCCTCTGGCCCTGACGTGGCCCCTGTTCGGCTGAAGCCTTGTAAAATGTGAGGGGTTTAATTTGGGGGGTTTTTCTGTCCCCCTCCCTCCCCAACCCACTGTCACTCAGGACTCTGTGTCTGCAGTTAGGCAGGATGGGGTGGTTTCTTCAGAGAGGGGGACAGAGCGGCCGGTTGAGGTTGGGGGGGGGGTGGGGGTGGTGGAGGGTGTTTTCAGACTGAGAGGGCCGGAGCGAGGGCAAAAGGAGGGAAAGTCGCAATATTCTCAGGGAGTTGTGAGCAGAAGTCTCCAACCATTGTCCACTCCCCCCCTCCGGCCCTCCCTCGGGAAGGGATGAAAATGTCATGTGTGAGTCCTCAGCCCTCTCTTCCTCTTCCCCAAAGCTCCCTTCCCCCCCCCCGACCCACGCTCAGCTCAGTTATAAGGAGGTCTCCACACAGTAGAGATGGGCCAGGTGAGGGGCGGAGGGTTTCCCCGGCCTGTCCCTGCCATGTTGGATATGGTGGTGCTGTTGGGGATGATGGGGGTTCCGGTTGCCGGGGGTAGCTGCAGTGGGGCTTTTTTGGTTGCCGTAGGTGACTGTTGAACTGCTGCTGCTGTTGTTGTTGTTTCTGTTGCACGGAGTCACAGGGAGGCTGTACTGGCGGTAGGGGCGGGTGGGGTGTACGCGGGCTGGGGGCTGGGCGGGAGGGGGCGGCGGCTTGCGGAGGGCCGGGTGCAGGTGCTGGTATCTGCTGAGCTCTGATTCGTCGTCCACGTCGGTGTCGTCGATCAGCGGGATGTTATGGATGAGGTCGTTGATGAGGAACTCTGGGTGGGCCATGAAGTTGTGGATGGAGTTGCGGGATTCCGGTTTCTCCCGGCCCTCGTACAGCGAACTACGGAATGCTTTCACCACTCGCATCTGCCCAGAGAAAGGGAGACGAGGGAGACAACAAGAAAGGAGTAAAAGTCAGACATCAAAAAGAAAGAAATAGACAAGGGAAACCCAGAGAGAGACAGAACAGTGTCCTCCAGCACACAGAGAGACAGACAGACAGACAGACTGACTGACAGACAGACTGACAGACAGACAGACAGACAGACAGACAGACAGACAGACTGACTGACAGACAGACAGACTGACTGACAGACAGACAGACAGACAGACAGACAGACAGACAGAACCAGGTGGCTACAGTCACGCTGATAGAAGCTTCAAATGATTGTTTTTGGGACCGATCCAAAGACGTATGTTTTAAAGACTATTATCATATTTTGGAAAGAGTTAGATTGGAAGATTGTTACCACTCTTAATATGAAACTACAGCCGTTAGCCAGTGGTTAAAGCTTGGCATTACGTTTTGAAAACGAGTGAAATACCTTGTCTGTGTAGATAGAATAATATCCACATACAAACACCTCAAAAGCTAACTAATGAGTCAAATCTCTTCAATCAATTGAAGGGTTAAAAACTAAACAAGTTCTTGTGTGGCACTAATTCTTGGCTTGGAGATTGACTTCCTTTAGTCGGCATTACTGTTTTTCACTAAAATGAGTTATTTTCGAGTTCCGCGTTGTTACTACCGTTTGTTCAGAGTTGGTTTAACGTGCGCAGAGGTGGGACATAAGTAGATTTACTCTAGTACTGTACTTAAGCAACATTTGGAGATACTTTACTTGAGTATTTCTATTTTATACAAAGTCATTCAAACTAGCTGCACCTTTTGATAACACTTTAATGACCAACAGGCCGTTGTGTCCTTGGGCAAGACACTTCACCCGAATTTGCTCCTGTGGGTATTGTCCACAGTACATGTATGATATTATTGTGTACTTGTAAAAGCGCCTTGATGACTTCGAGGTGTGAAGATGGCCAGTGTGGCGCAGTGCGCTGTGCAATGATCATCAGATCAAGGGGGTGAAACCCGCCGCCGCTGCGTCTGTAAAGCCGTTGTGTCCTTGGGCAAGACACTTCACCTGAACTTGCTCCTGTGGGTATTGTCCACAGTACATGACCGTTACATGTATGTGTAATGTGTATTTGTAAAGCGCTTTGAGATTCATTGATAAAGCGCTATAATAAATATAAGGATTATTATTATTATTATTATTATTATAAAACATATCATATATATTATTCTGAAATGGACCAATCTGCACAATGACTACTTTTACTTTTGGTACCTACTTTAACTATATTTTGATGCTACTACGTTTGTACTTTTACTTGAGTAACATTTTGAATGCAGGACTTTTACTGTAACAGAGTATTCCTACACTCTGGTACTTCTACTTTTACTCTAGTACAAGATCTGAGTACTTCTCCCACCTCTGAAAATGTGATATGTGATAAAAGCCCAATTACTTGATGGTTTGAGCAAAATGTGTCTGGTTCTGGATAAAAAATGTTCTGAACATGAGCTAGGACATGAGCTAGGACATAAGCTAGGACATAAGCTAGGACATAAGCTAGGAACTATCACCAAATGTAAAGACAAGTGTAAAAGACGCCTCACTTGACACTGGACTATTCAACATTTAACAACTATTCAACAAGATGCTTGTCTCTTCTTTAAGTCATGTATCCTTGTTTTTCTTTAGGAAGGATATTGGATTAGTGCATGACATTTTAGAGGATATCAAGGTCATTTATCAATCTTTGTAATTTTATAACTGTAGCTTTTGGAACCCAAATACATTGACTAACTGAGATTGTCCACCTGATCCTGTCTCTAACAGACACAAAAATAAAAATGAGTTGATGATGTATTTTTGTCAGTTCTCACACACACAGTCAAACTTCACAAGACTAGAACATTCAGGAGCCACCATCACAGAGACCAAAAAGCTTACATCATACACACATGGTCTGTGTGTGTGTGTGTGTGTGTGTGTGTGTGTGTGTGTGTGTGTGTGTGTGTGTGTGTGTGTGTGTGTGTGTGTGTGTGTGTGTGTGTGTGATACAGCATGTGTGAAGAAACCTAATACCTCAGCATACTGGATAACATGCATGTGCACATACAATGATGGTGTTGTTAGGCACAGATGGAGAAGAAGCGAGACTGGTGAGTGTGTTAGTTAAAGTACATTTAAATTAAAAAAAATCAAGAAAATGGAGCAGTGGCACACACACGCACACACACACGCAAACACCAATGTGCATGCAGCAGCTGTGTAGGTTATTTCATGCAGCTTGGAGGTTGACATCTGCATGCATCGGACAGTTGTCAATCATGGGTGCTGAAGAGAGCTGGCAGACACAAAAACAAACCCACATACACACACACACACACACACACACACACACACACACACACACACACACACACACACACACACACGGACACTGTATTGCAGTCATGAAGCAGTGCGGGACGGAGGACAGCAGAGTGATTGAATTGATGCTGATGCTGATAATGGAGTCGCTGCAGGATAGAGAACAAAATAAGTATTGCAAAACAGAAAAGTGACATCACAGAGAATCAGCAGGTGAGAACAGTGTGTGATTGGTTAGATTAGAAGGGGAAGATGATTGGTTCAAAGGTCAGTGCGAAACTGGGGTGTCAGCTCTGTCGCAAACACAGTTGAGCCAGGTCATGCTGAATCAGACCTTTGTCACTTACGCTCACTTTCTGTCTCTCACTCACTCACTCACACTCACACACACACACACACACACACACACACACACACACACACACACACACACACACACACACACACACACACACACACACACACACACACACACAGACAGACAGACAGACAGACAGACAGACAGAATACTGAGGCCTATGAGTGTACTTGAAGGTGCATTATGTATGTGTGCGTGAAAACATTCCTTTGCCATGGCAGTTGGTCCATGCACCCTTGCCACAAGCCCAAACAGAGGAAAAGAAGCAGCATGAGCTCGAAACAAACCGAGACAGTTTAAATACAGTGACAGGCCCAGGCAGGCAGGGCCATACATAGAGACAGTTTGGCCAACAGGATCAACAGAGAAGAAGCTTTGTGTCGACTGGAGTCCAAACCGTGATGAGAGGTGGATGGGGATCAGAGCTGCAGTTGGTCAAACTACGAGGAGTCTCTATATATGACAGAGACTATACATAGACAGACATACAGACATACAGACAGACAGACAGACAGACATACAGACAGACAGACAGACAGACAGACAGACAGATATACTGACAGACAGACAGACAGACAGACAGACATACCCTGTCAGACATACTGACAGACATACTGACAGACAGACAGACAGACAGACAGACAGACAGACATACATACATACTGACAGACATACTGACAGACATACTGGCAGACATACTGGCAGACAGACAGACATACATACTGACAGACATACTGACAGACATACTGACAGACAGACAGACAGACATACATACATACATACGACAGACATACTGACAGACATACTGGCAGACAGACAGACAGACATACTGACTGACAGACATACTGACAGACATACTGACAGACAGACAGACAGACAGACAGACAGACAGACTGACAGACAGACTGACAGACTGACTGACAGACATACTGACAGACATACTGACAGACAGACAGACAGACAGACAGACATACAGACAGACAGACTGACAGACATACAGACAGACAGACTGACAGACATACAGACAGACATACAGACATACAGACAGACTGACTGACTGACAGACATACAGACAGACAGACAGACAGACATACTGACAGACATACAGACAGACAGACATACAGACAGACAGACAGACAGACAGACAGACAGACATACTGACTGACAGACATACTGACAGACATACTGACAGACAGACAGACTGACTGACTGACAGACAGACAGACAGACAGACAGACAGACATACAGACAGACATACAGACAGACGGTCAAGCAGTTGGTTCAGTGCTTATCTGTTTTTCCAAAGAGCCTGTCAGACAGTAGACAAACACCTCATGCAGCCTGAGAAGGTTTCCGAATGTTACTTTCTCACTTCGTCAGCGCTTGGTTTGTTTTCATTTTGTCTCTGTGGACAGAGTAAACTTTCGAGTATATAACGTCCCCAGTCTGGCCGGGAGGTCAGGGCACTGCTGTGTTACTAATGTCTCTTTCTCTCTCCCTCTCTCCCTGTCGGCTCTTTCAGCAGTGCTTGATGGAAAAACAATGATGGTTATAGAAGGGAATGGCGATAGAGAGGCTGCTGTGTGCGGGACAACTGCTGATGAGAGGGAACTGCAACATAAATACAGGGAGAAGCTGTGAGGTAGATGGCTGGTTAATGGCTCCCATTGCCCACCCGACTCTGATCAGCACCCACCCTTTGATATGTGATGACTGAGCTTGAATCCATAGCAACCCCTCAGCAACACCTTCCTCAATTCAATGCACGTTCTGAGCCAAACCTGAGGGCGGAAGCTGATTTTCTTTTTGAATATTGAAGAACTTAAGCAAAGAATTCAGGAGCTGAGGATGGATTTTGCCTACACACTTATTTCCTCTTTTCCTCACCAACGCAAATCTTCATATTTATCTATTTTCTCAACTCCAGGCCGGTGAAACTAGGCCAGTGTGAAATGAAAACAAACTGGATCCGAATATCTCTGCTAAAGCTGCAGTTGGATCACTAAGGTCCGGCACAGCTCAGATGGATAGATTGGATAGTGATGAGAGATGTGGCTGTAATAGTCAGGAAAGGTGATGGTGTCGACGTCAGAACTTACGCACATCATACTGCAGCGAGGCACACTGCCAAGTCTGAGGACTGGCTCTGCTTTGCAAAGAACTCTGGGTAATGGAGTTTAATAATGACCCTGCAGCTTGGGCAGAGGTCAGGCAGTCATGATGACACACAGGCAGTCATTTAGAGTTTGTGTGTTTCTTGATCCTATTTGACAATGGCTTTAGGCAATCATAAAGTACTCAGATAATAAGGCTGATGATCTGATGAGCTGGTTTTGTTATATTGTTACCAAATAAATAAAAAAGACCTAATCAACAAACTGTGGCTCCAAGCCCCAAGCCATTTGTTCTTATGAAGATGGAAATCTTCAAAAAGGGTGTTAACTCAGCGGCACAATGTAGTCCTTAGCAATCGTACAAATTTGCATTTGTTTCAGGCACTGATTTGGTGCGATATCAATTATATTATTTCCTTATAAGGACAGTGTATATGTGATTATGTCAAATTAACCTATAGTGTGTTTGTTCGTGTCAGCCAGTGCGACAGTGTGGCTCATTGCAGTGTTTTTAGCTAGGCTAGCTGCCTGGCTCAATGGATGTCACTCCACCCAGCTATAATCCCCCCCCCCTCACTCCCCATTGCTCCCCGGGCGCTGTACAATAGCTGCCCACTGCTCCTAGTACTAGGACGGGGTTAAAACCAGAGAACACATGTCACTGTGTGCTGTGTGCTCTGCATGTGTGACCATTAAAGAGGGGTTCATCCCTCCCATTCTATTCTATCTATCATTTTCAGGTCATTTGGGTTTCTACTAGAAACATGTTCACATGGTTAAATGATAAAAACATTATTTTTCTCATACTGTCAGTCTGAGTATACCTAATCATCTGTCTGAAAGCCCAGTCTGATCTGATTGGCTTGTGAGAAAACGTATGGTGCACCGTGGCAAAGGCAGTTCTGCAGCTTCCGGTGGAGATACTCAGATGCATGTGACACAGGACGAAAGCCCATCTGAATGTGTTTTGGACCCAAATGTACAGTATAAGCACAAGCGCTGAAAACGTTTTTCATTATTTATAACATGCACTGACATCCCCATCAACCTCAGCTGTACTCTGTGCTTAATGCTTATTAGCAAACGTTAGCATGTATCTTAAAGCGCTGCTCTGAGTGCAGCCTAACAACGCTTTAGACCTGAACCCTACTCAGCTGGCGTTTCTATCAGACAGTAATGTTGCAGCAATGCCCAGATCTGAGAAATTATATAATGCATTTTATTCAGAATATAATAACGATTTAAAAAAAAAAAAAAAAAAAAAAAAATAACCTCTTGTGTGGGTGTAGGATGATCAACATGTGGTGTCAGCAGCAGCGCCTCACTGTATCTACACCTACAGGGGATGGAGGGGGGCAGCGTGGAATGGGAGGAGGGACGAGAAGGAGCAAGGAAGGTAAGGAGAAGCAACTGAGAAGACGGATGGAGACAATCAAATGAAGAGACAGCACAACCACACACACATGCACACACACGCACAGGTACACGCACAGGTACACACACACACACACACACACACACACACACACACACACACACACACACACACACACACACACACACACACACACACACACACTAAGGCTCTCAGATATGTCAGCAAATGCACACACATAAACACACTTGCAAACAGACACGTGCGGAACTGACATACAAAGAAATCAAGAGAAAACATGAGGGGTGGACGCTACTCTAGAAAGGAGATGGGAGGATGACACAAAGGGATGAGGTAAAGGACAAAGTAAGATGTATAAATAAAATGTAAAATGAATAGAAATCTACTAAAGGAACCTTATCAGTACGCTACACAAGAGCCCATATTTAGATCTGGTGAAATCTAAATACTTCTACAAAAGAACAACTATACTTATGAAGAACAATAAGATTACATTTCACAGAATATTTCTGCAAACACCTGTAATATCTTATGAATATTAGAGAAAAAGGAGAGAACTGTGATGAAGAAAGAGGAAAAAAACAGACTGCAAGAGAGAAAAATCAGGACTTTTTGGAGACATCTGTAGCCAAACGTGTGGAGCTGGAAATACTGTTACAGAAACAACAATCGGACATAAGTGAGAGGAGCAAAAGAAGGAGAAAGAAAGCAATAGTGATAGAGGAAGAGGGAACTTTTTTTGAACGGTTTTCTTGGAAACAGCAGTGATGGGGCTTTTATACTCGAAGGTTTACAGTTTAGAGAATTCAGAAGCCATGTGAAAGCCATTTGGTAATGAGTATGAACTCTATGGCAGTGGAATCTCATCATAGCATTTGCTACGAATAATTAGGAGTCACAGAATTGCAACAACTCCTTTACATTAGTGATGTTTCAACCACGGTAACCACGCTTGACCTCATTCACAGACAGGAAAATAACATGCGGAGCAGGAGGAGCAGCCGTTTGCTCTCTGAACTTTAGGCCTTGTCACTTCACTTCTTTTGGTTCTTTTGAACATCAGTGTATTTCCTTTAGACACCTTTCCCCAGCCAGAGAACAGCAGGCTGCCTCCTGCACCGAGCAACACTCAACAACAAAACAAACTCTGGGCTGGGACCAAGGCTGGATTTTGGACCAGACCAGATCAGACCAGAAGCCGCTCAGAACTGGGTGCTGTTTGAAGGGAGAATAAGAGAAAAGAAAGAGGAGACATTGCACACACACGAGCAGCGAGCGAGCCGGAGGGGAACACAACCATAGAGTCAAAAATACTGCAGTCCACGTGCCGTGCAGCAGTGTGTGTGTTTGTGTCTGCGAACTGAGTGTGAGTGAGAGAGACTGCAGGTATGAGTGCAGGTAAAGGTGTGTGGGTGTGTGTGTGTGTGTGTACATGCGTTCGGCGGACTCACTCCCGGGGGCTGGGCTGGTATTGGCTGTTGCGGTGGAGAGAGCTACGTGAGAGGGGGTAGAGATAGTGTTTACGTCGTGGAGCTGACTGAGCACGGAGGAGCGCCGTCTCACCGCTCCCTGAAACGAACCGCTTCGCTTGAACGTGCTCACTACCTCCATCTGCAGGACAGAGACAAAACAGCAGCACTCAGTGAGGGCCGGCCTGAGTGTGTGGGTGTGGTGTACGTCTCTCTGTGTGTGTCCTGTCACAAAGACCTGATCAAGTTTTATGATTGGAAGTTGTTAATTCATGCTTAGCTTGAAAGGCTTTTCTTGAAATGTAAGCCCAACCGCTTCCCTGGTCTCGAAATCAACGCTTTTGGTTAGATGTCGGAAATAATATCTGTCAACACAAGCTAAAGAGATTTTCACGTTTGGTTCTACGACAGAAAATATGTCAGGAAATACCCCACTGGTGAATGTCTGAAGCATCTTTGAGTCATAAAAATGTTGGTTGTTAACAAGTGACTAAATAAACTACTAAACGTCATCACGCCTAACATTAGCCGCCTTTAGCTTAGCGGTGGTGATGCTCAGGCCTGTTAGTATTTGAGCTTTTTACCACCTGCTACTGCATTCACGCTTTGAAAATCATAAAAGTTGTGTATTTATGTGGAGATTATCCTGCTGAACAAAATGTGTAAGTATCACCAACATGTGTTTGACACAGATTTTATTTTCCTGTAATGTCCCAAAATCCAATGAGAACATCCAATGCTTTTACCGCGGGAGCCCTTGTGACGCTAACTTCTGAGTTGGCTAACAAAAATACATCATCACTGCACCACTGTATAATGTTTACCGTTTGATATTGCAGACACATTTGAGCAATAGTAACAAGCTAGGTCGCCGCTTTTGAGTAAGTAGGCATATTGACATGACATCAAGTCAAATTCCTCGTATGTGTGAACCTACCTGGCAATAAACCCGTTTCTGATTCTGATTCTGATTCTGATTAGCATTATAAGCTGAATAGCATTTCACTCAGGCATTTGGTGTGACAGACTGCTCCTAAAAGGACACTCCTAGTTTAGAGAATGGAGCATTGTTTTATGCCGTCTTTCTGCACGGCTATGTTGAGGAAATTAAAATAAACCATTTTAAACTTTGTAAAACACTGCTGTTTTACAGTTAGTCAATCGTATTTATTTGGAATAAGATGATTCATCTCGTTTTCAACGAGCTCTTCAATTGTCAATTGACCCTTTATTACGACATCATTTTTGAACTACTATCAATGCTTAATTGTTCAAATTCATAAAAATGAATCCAAAAAAAGTGCAATACTTGTTTTACATGCTACTGCAATGAAGACATTTCCCAATTCGGGATTCATAAAGTATATCTTATCTTAACTTACTTATTAGGACCTAACCCCAACTAGGGGATATTACAAATATATACTAAGAAGCTTTTGTGTCAGATTTAAACTCTAGCTAAATGAAATCACTTTGCATTTGTGAAGAAACTAATATGTGTATTTCATCAGCAGGACACAAATCTTCTTATAGTGAACATTGTATTCATGAAAAACAAGCATTCAAACAATTTTAATGAGGTAATTAAAGTCTCTTGTAAGGATAGTCAAGATTATCTCGATAATAAAAAAAAATAATTATAGATGATGACTGTATGAGGTGGATGAGGTTGAGTGTGTGTGTTTGCATGTGTGTGTTGTCTGCACACTCAGACCAAACCCTCCCAATGATAAACTGACCACTAAGGCACTTAAGCAGAGACTCTTGACTGGAACTAACAGTGGTCAGGAGGCTGTTAGCAGAGCGCTCATGTTGATGCTGCTTTGCTGTCTTAATGTACATTCTGACAAAACGCAAGAATCAATCAATTAAAGCAATCCAGCAAGTCAACAGCCTGTCTACTTAGCCTGTATACGAAGTGTAAACACTTACACACACATGTGCAACGCAGGTGGCGACACACAAACTAATTATAGATTTATCTTCTCTCATGAGTTTCTAAAATACCACTTCCAAGTTAGATGAAGCCATTTCACCAGGTTTAAGCAGAACAGAACAGTTAGCTGTGTGGGAGAGAAATGACTGGAATCATTATGTTTGGCACAAGTCAGAAGAACAAATCAGACAGGATGAGAGAAAGATTGCCTTTCCAAGAGTAAGAAAATTCAGATAGTGTTTAAACTCAACTTAAAGTGTATATATCTGCCTACAGAAAATAAAGCATCTCTGAAAGTCTCTAATATTAGCGTGTAAATACCATGATACTGGCAGTTTTTTAAGAATAAAACAATATCCCCCTGATAAAAAATGTGCGTTGCATTATAAAGCACTCAGATTAATATTCCTAAATCATTATGTACATACTTCTGGCTCATTCCCCTGGTATCCAATTCACTTTATGCAAACTGCTTGTGTGTTAGGACCAAAAACCGCTGCTGTTTGAGCTTTTATCTGGAGTCTATTCCAGGACGTTTGGTTTAGGGTTGTGTTGATGGAACAGTACCTGGGTCTGGATGCGGTTGAGGCCTCTGAACCAGAGGATCTGTCCGCGGCGCAGCTCTCTCTCAGCACAGTCGATCTCATCCTCATCATCGGCCATGTCCTCCCCGTCGTCGTCCCCGGGATCCAGGTTCATCCCCGCCTCCTTCAGGCATGGCAGCCGCTCCGTTGGCACCGTGGCAATCACCTTAAAGCAACGTTTGTTCAATTCTTATTTGACCAGAAGACTATGTTGTTTTGCTGAGCAGCAGTGGTTTCTTTTTAAATCTTACACAGATGATGGATCAGGTAACACAAGATTGATTTAATACAAAGAAGTACAGCATTTTGAGTTTAGTGGTGTAATCTAAGCCATGTTCTTTTACACCAAAGTATCGAGTACAGTATATACCGATTTGTTCAGATGTGGGAAAACCTGCTTAAAAAAGGTGATAGACTTATTTCCTATTGCAATGATAAATATGCACTATGTTTTTTATCTATGTAAACGTCACAAACACGCCTGAAAAACAGTGTTATTAAACAGTGAACACTTTACAGTAGTTACTTCTGATTCCCTTTTGTCTTACGTTTAAATGTGTCACTTGTTCAGGTTTCTTTCAAATTCTTTGCAAAGTTGTAGCCGGGCTTGCAGGGCCGGCCCTTGGCATAGGCAGTATAGGCGAATGCTAAGGGCGCATCAACCTATGGGGGGCGCCAAAGATTTTTATTTATAAAAAAAAAAAAAAAGGTTTTATTTAAATTTCATAACAAAACAATTTCCCGATTTTGGATCAACAAAGTACATCCTATTATCTTATCTTGACAGAACTACGCCTATATTGCATACAGCGCCCCTAAACTATGGCGCAAACCCCCCCCCCCCAAATCAGGTAAGTTGAACTGCCCCAGCCCCACTGCCCCCGGAGCGAGGGGGCGGGTCAAGTGTCATTTTTAATGTGGAAGTAGATTACAGCCCTCTCTTCACTTGATTAGGACAGCTCCCTCTGCTGTAATTAATGTAAATTACAGTAAAAACCAGAGGTTTATGTGAAATTGTTCTTTTTTTGAAATAATGGTTTTTGTGTGCAATTATAGGTTTTAATTTTGTATTTGTGTTCATTTAAAATAGGGGGGAGGGGGCGCCAGCTAAAATATTGCCTAGGGCAGCAAATTGGTCAGGGCCGGCCCTGCGTGCTTGGACAGGATACTTGGGCATAGCATTGCACCAGAAAAGTGGGAAAAAAGAGGGTGCCATGTTTTATCCATTGTCTATCAGATAAAAACTGATTAAAACTGGTAATTTGTCCCAGAAATTAATCCTGTTTGTAATCTTTCCCAATCAAGACAAAGGCCAGATATGTGTGGGGTTTTGTCCTGAAGAAAATGGGCTTGGGTGGGAAAATGTTTCCTTAGCCTCATCTGAGCCTCATTACACGCCATGTAAAGCAGGCCTGTCAGACTACACTAGGTCAGAACGGTTTGCTTACCTGCCCCCAGAGGAGCTCCCCGACCCCCACGAACAGACACCAGAGCCACTGCTCCATGTTGAGAGGAGCACAGCTGAAGGGCTTCCCTCCCCACTGCACAATCACGATCTGCAGCAGAAACACAGAAAGGGACATACACAGTCACATATACAGTACACACACACTGTGGAGGGAGGAAACGGAACTGTCTGTGAATAGAAAAACAGAGCCAGGTTGTGCCACCTCTATCTTCTCATCTGTCACCATTCAAGTATAAAGTATGTAATCCCTGCTGCATCCGATCAAACCAACATGTGCCGGTGAAGATGGCCGCATCGTCTACGTGCTCCTCTCCAACTTTGCCCATTTTCGTATTTTGTACATATTTCTTTTACTTTTGCCGTTTTACTTTTAACATGGTTCGCAACATGCTAGCCGACCGCACCTACTCTGCCATACAATATAGCAGAGAGGAACTTCTCCAATTGCGAAACTTCGTGGACAAAAATAACCCTCCGACAAACAATGGAGATTCACCATGGCTACCTGTTGCTGTTCTACCTGAGAGACGCAAGGAGAGGACAAAGCGGGGATGCCGGGCCGGGTTGCTGGTCAGACTGAGGAAACGAGAGAACCGACCCCCTCTTCCGAGTATTCTTCTGGCTAATGTTCAATCCATTGAAAATAAGCTAGATGAACTCAGAAGCCGGATTGCTTTTCAACGGGACATTAAGAACTGTAACGTGTTAATTCTCACTGAGACTTGGCTCAACCCCGCTATCCCGGACTCCGCTATTGTCCCCTGATGGATTCTCTATTTTTCGTCAGGACCGGACTGCTAACTCGGGGAAAAGTAAGGGAGGCGGTGTGTGTGTAATGACTAACAACAACTGGTGCTCAGATGTGAAGATTATTTCATCGGACTGTTCCGCACAGCTAGAGCACCTCATGATCTCATGTCGGGCCTTCCATCTGCCGAGGGAATTCACATCTGTTGTGATAACAGCAGTGTATATCCCGCCGCAGCCACTCGCCGACAACAACACGGCACTCGATCAGCTGTTTGGGATTATTGATAAAACCGAGACTTCACGGCTAGATGCGGCGTTCGTTGTGGCCGGAGATTTCAACACCGCCAACATGAAGAAGGTTTTGCCAAAATATTACCAACACATCAACTTCCCGACGCGCGGGGGAAACATACTGGACCATGTTTATTCCCCTTTCCGGAATGGATATAAGGCTCTCCCTCGCCCTCCCTTCGGCAAATCAGACCATATCTCACTACTGTTGTTGCCTGCGTACAAGCAGAAACTTAAAAGGGACAGACCGGTAACAAGGACAGTACAACGATGGAGCGTGGAATCAGATGAGGCACTGCAGGATTGCTTTGCATCCACGGATTGGAGTGTGTTTGAGGACAATAACATCAACACACACACGGACACTGTCATCTGCTACATTGGGAAATGCATCGATGACGTGGTACCGAAGGTTTCTGTACGGACATTCCCAAATCAAAAGCCCTGGGTAAACGGTGAGGTGCGCAGCAAACTGAAAGCGCGCACTATCGCGCACAGAGCTGGAGAGTACAGGAAATCTAGGTATGATCCGGAGAGCAATTAAAAATGCAAAGAGACAGTACAAAGACAAGGTGGAATCTGACTTCAAAGGCTGTAACACTAGGAATATGTGGGCGGGACTAAGGACAATGACTGAATGAAAGGAGCAGCGGGGGGTGCTGCGGGAGTGTCTGCGTGCGCATCTCTCCCAGATGAGCTAAACAGTTTTTTTTGCACGCTTTGAGAGCAGCCAGGCTGTGGAGGCACAGAGGGACCAGGAGCTATCCTGCCCTTTTGTTTTAAATAGGGCAGATGTGTGTAAATCCTTTAAAAGGGTTAACCCACACAGGCTCCTGGACCTGATGGCATCCCTGGCCGTGTTCTCAGGGTGTGTGCAGTTCAGCTGGCAGAGGTGTTCACAGACATCTTCAACAGGTCCCTGCTGCAGTCTGTAGTCCCCACATGTTTTAAACACTCCACCATCATTCCTGTCCCCAAAAAGACAATCATCACCTGCCCCAACGACTACCGCCCAGTAGCACTCACCTCCACCATAATGAAGTGCTTTGAGCGGTTAGTCAAATTATTCATCACTTCCTCCCTCCCTGAATCTCTGGACCCCCTGCAGTTTGCCTACAGAGCAAACAGGTCCACAGACGACGCCATAGCCCTCACCCGCCACACTGCCCTCTCACACCTGGACCCGAAGAACAGGAACACATATGTGAGAATGCTGTTCATTGACTACAGTTCAGCATTCAATACCATTGTGCCCTCCAAGCTGGCCATCAAGCTCAGAGACCTCGGGCTCAACAGCGCCCTCTGTGACTGGATCCTAAACTTCCTGACGGGCAGACCCCAGGCAGTGCGGTTGGGAAATATCACATCCTCCACCCTGATTCTAAACACCGGTGCCCCTCAAGGCTGCGTGCTCAGCCCTCTCCTCTACTCCCTGTTCACCCACGACTGCGTGGCCACACACAGCTCCAACACCATCGTGAAGTTTGCTGATGACACGACCGTCATCAGCCAGATCACAGACGATGACGAGACGGCGTACAGAGAGGAGGTCAAAAACCTGACATCTTGGTGCCAGGATAACAACCTCCATCTCAACATCAGCAAAACAAAGGAGCTGATTGTGGACTACAGGAAGCAGCAGGGAGAGGGACACGCCCCCATCGCCATCAATGGGACTACGGTGGAGAGAGTCAAAAGCTTCAGGTTCCTTGGGGTCCACATCACTGAGGACCTGACATGGTCTCTTCACACCACCACCATCACCAAGAAAGCTCGACAGCGGCTCTTCTTCCTCCGCAGGTTGAGGAGGTTCAAAATGGATTCCAGGATACTCTGCAACTTCTACAGGTGCACGATAGAGAGTATCCTCACTGGCAGCATGACGGCCTGGTACGGCAGCTGCACCGACCTCGATCGTAAGGCTTTACAGAGGGTGGTGAAAACTGCACAGCACATCACCAGGACGGAGCTGCCATCCATGGAGGACCTTTACTCCCAGCGGCTCAGGAAGAAATCACTACGGATTATCAAAGACCCCCATCACCCCAGCCACAAACTGTTCTTTCTGTTGCCGTCTGGCAGGCGGTACCGCAGCATCCTGGCAAGGACAAGAAGATTCGGAGACAGTTTCTTCCCGCGGGCAGTGAGACTGTTAAAAAATTGAACTGTTGAAACAACATCAAACATTCATCTGCTACTCAGTAGTATGTATCTAATACCTAATATATATATATCATTCCAATAACTTGTATATAGACTCGTACTGCACTATTCCACATCATAACTTTATTTCATTTTTATAACTATTATTATTTTTGTATTGCTCATGCTCTTATTGTTATTATGTTATTATGTTGCATTGTTGGAGAAGCCTGTGACATAAGATTTTCAACTGCATAATTACTCTGTAGCTATGTCAGATTGACAATAAAGAACCTTGAACCTTGATGTGTAATGACATGTTGTGGTTGAGTATTGTATTTAGTTATTCATGAAGTATGGCTCCTCCTTAATGGCTATTACCATCATAAACCGTCTTCTTACGATTAGACTTTCATCAGGTCATAGAAATATATGAGTGTGTATGTAATAACATATGAGGAGAGCATTGTGTTCTCTAGGCCAGTATGTATAAAGCTGTTCAGAGCACAATTTTCGTTGTAAAAATTGTAAAAATTCTAAAAGTTGGTGTTTTTCTGAGAATGCCTATAGCCAATGTGCATTGTAAAAACGTTCATACATGTTAAGTGTCATTTAAAGCAATATATCACCATTTGTGTAAATATGCTTATTGACTTCCTTACTGAGAGTTGGATGAGAAGATGAATACTAATGTCATGTCTGCCTGTAACATTTAAAGCAAAAGCCAGGAAGAGTTAGCTTAATTGAGCATAAAGACTGGAAACAGCTAGCAGGCTCTGTCCAAAGGTAACCTAATAATTACCTACAATTCTAAAGCTCACTTGCTAACACGTTTGTTGAATATTTACCAAACTGAAGTATAAAAGTTGAATTTTTGTGGTTTTTCAGGAGCAAACATGCTATTTTGACTTAGCTTAAGAGTGTTCATATCCTGCTAGCTTGGACGTGCAGCAACATAGTGTACACAAATAAGAGAAGATATAATAATAGCACGAAGCTATTACTATATTAGCTAACATTAGCCACTAAAGCTAGTGGTCATACCATAAACATTGCATTGTTTGTAATGTAAGCGGAAGGGTTTGTTAAGATCAATGTTATATCTCTCACAGGCTTCGCCCTCTACTGGACTCTATGGGTACTACCTTATCCCGCGTGCATTCTCCCACTGAGACTTCTATAGACGTAGCTGGCCCAGGGCGGGCCTACAGATGGAGCCTCTTATTTTGGACCCCAGCATACAGCTTCCTGCCGACTGCCAGCCAGTTGCCAGCCAGTTGCCTGCCAAAGACCAGTATTCAGGAATGTTAGGCCCTCCCACTATTCTCCAATTTCAGGGTTTAACCAGGAGATGGCGCTATATATTAAATAACTAAGACTTAGTTTTTCACAATAGAAAATGCAGATATTATATAAAAAACTAAAGTTAAAATCTTGTTTTTAATGCCCCAAGAGCAATAACATCTTGTCACAAGCTTTTTGGAAGAAAAAGACTGACTCAAGAGACCTGTAGTTGACTAATTACAGGCCTCAATAAAGTTCTGCCATTGGTTGTGAAAAACAACGGTGGACATAGTGGAAAGTGAAATTGACATTGTCGAATTTAATAAAAATACAAAATAATGTATCTGTGTACGTGTTTTACTATGTGATCTGCACTTATCAAACATCTAATTAAGGCGAGACACCCCAGGTGAATAGGGTATTTTTAACTTAAAGATATCAGCTAAATATTTCTCCAGTTAATTACTTACAATAAGGCAATTGTTTTTTGTATTACAAGTTTTCTGAAATAGCATGTTTAAATATCCAAATGAACCATTACCTCATGAAATATGCGCATATTTTAACACATTTCAGGAACCGAAATCTGAACTTTGGATAAAGCCAGGATCAAAATTATTG